CACCTGGCACGGGCACCGTAGCCAGCCCGTGCCCCTTTAAGGAGTCCGGGGCCGGGAGGGGGGCAATAGAGTTTCCCTGGTGTTGGCCAGAGTGGCCACCAGGGAAAGCTGGGGAGGGCTAGCCTCCCACTAGTTCAAATTAAGGGGCTACACACCCCTTAATTCGAACTAGTAAGTTCAAACTAGGCTTAATCCTCGTAAAATGAGGTTTTCCTAGTTCGAACTAAGCACTCCACTAGTTCGATTCAAATTCGAACTAGCGGAGCGCTAGTGTAGCGGCTATGAATGTTAGTTCGAACTAACGTCCGTTAGTTCGAACTAACATTGTAGTGTAGACATACCCTTAGAGTGTTAGATCCTGTCACTAGTGTTACATTCCTCCTTAAAATTTAACCTCAATTGGACTAGGACCAACTGTGGCATTTCCTTTGTTTGTATCTCCAGGTCTCCGAGACCTGCTGTTATCAGGGTGTTCGTGGATTGCCGTCTCTGCACTTTGTAGTTCCAGTTGTCCTTTACTCAGAACCCTGGATGTTCAGTGGGTGGAAGGATTAAAAGATGCACAAATGAGAGACCTCTTGTCACCACCAACAGATAACAGACCAGGTAACAGATGGATTTATTCATAAATGTAGCTTGGCAAGTATCTTTCATGTGTCAGTAGTTGGTAGCTGATTTGTGGGACACTACATTTCTTGGGGCAAGATCCTCAGCTGTAGTAAATCAACAAAGCTCTTTGGTGTTATATCAGTTGACTTTAGCTGATGATTTGGGCCCTATTCTGTAGAATTCTGGCATATGTGAAATGTGTAGCCAGAACTGCTACAGTCCTGGACATCCTGGGGTAAGTTCTTAGGTAACAAATTATAGCCTCTGGTCATTCCATCTGCTCTGCATGCTTTTCCTATGAATGACTTTCCTTCATTCAGGCTGCAAGCATATATATGTTGAATATGAAAAGGTGGAAATCCTTTCCTTTCAGTTCAGAGGAGCAGCAGTTTTCTTGGCTATATCAAGGACTCATGTTAGCTCAAAGCACTATTGTGTGATGTACCAAATATGCCGTATCTGAACCTGCAAATGCATAGTGCTTCTTCCTGTGAATAATTACATTTAAAGTTGTCAATAGACTCTTCATTGCATTTCTGGAATCCCATACTGGTTCAATTTAGACTTTTGCAAACTGATGGCTACAAATAGCTCTTATTAAAACCATTAATAAAACTACCATAAAAAATATGGATCAGAAACGCATTTCACATGCTACAGACTCAACTGGAGCTGGAATAAGTCCCAGTCTTCCATTTTGACACATTGTTGAGTAGGGTTTGGGTATTCCCATTGCTGTATGGAACTCATGCAAAAAAAGGGTGAAATGATTTGACTGCTGAGGGGAAAAGACTTTAAGTAAAGTGCTGTCAAATAAAAAAAAACAGGAGAAAAATTGTACTGTCAGTGCTGGTCACCTTGAGGGCTCCTTGAAACAGCAGGTAACTTAAATCACTTCTGTGTTTTGTTTAACTGTCCATTTAAGTAAATTGGGGGTATTGGCACCATAAGTTACAGTGTGTTTCGTTTGGAGTTGATTTTTAATCTGCTGAGGATTGCTAAACTGCAATGAAACTTAAAAAAAAACCAAAAAACCCTTTTGTCTTATAGGTCAAATTGATAACCGAAGTAAACTACGGAACATAGTTGAGCTGCGTTTGGCTGGTCTGGATATTACAGATGTTTCTTTGCGATTGATCATTAGGCACATGCCTCTGCTTTCCAGACTTAATCTTAGTTTCTGTAACCATGTGTCAGATCAGTCTATTAACCTCTTGACTGCAGTAGGAACCACCACACGTGATTCCTTAACTGAAATTAACTTATCAGGTATGTGATGGGAGAGATGCATGAGGCTTTGCCTATTTATATGAGAGATGCAGGATGTCTATGAAATCTAAGAGCACAAAGTGCAGATTAGCCATAGGACTCTCCTCCCTCACCTCCCCCTCTCCTGCCAGCTCACTTGACTCTTCCTGAAGAAAAATGCAACCAGCATTTTCTCCTTTTGTCCTCTTAAGTTTCTTTTCTGCAGAAGAATTCACTTCCCTCTGTATTCTAACTAGAAACCACCACCCTCTACTTTATCCTTCCTCTCCATTTCACTCTTAAGCTCCCTCTTCTACCACTCATGAAACTGGCTTGTTTTGCATTTTTATCCAGTTATGTTACACAACTGGCTGCAAAGATCAGAGAATTGTCATCAAGCTCATGGGTTTTAATTCATTGATTTTAATGACCAGTGCAATAATAAAGAGCAAATGGGGGCATGTCACAGTCTGTATAAATAGTCCTTATATTGACAATTTAAGTAAAACTAGCTATTACTTTCTCTCCTCTTTGTTGTTTTCCTGACAGACTGCAATAAGGTTACTGACCAGTGCCTGTCCTACTTTAAACGTTGTGGGAATATCTGTCAGATCGATTTGAGGTACTGCAAGCAAGTGACCAAGGAAGGATGTGAGCAGTTCATAGCAGAGATGTCAGTGAGTGTTCAGTTTGGTCAGGTGGAAGAGAAATTGCTTCAAAAACTGAGTTAGTTAGAGGACAAGACAACTAAGAACATGTAGAAATTTTATTTTCAATTGGGAATCCAGAAAGATCCATATCAAGGATCGGATTTTACAGTCTTGACAAGGAAAGAACATAATTTAAACTACCCATGTTAAGAATTTCAACCTGTGCCACTTAATTCAGTCTACCTGGAATGTCCTGCACTGGCTCTTATGCAAATTCATAAGGCGACTGTTATTGATGATACATGTGCACACCTCGAAGAAGACTGATCTTCAAGAAACGCTGTTATTTAAAGTACCACACAGCATGTGCTGCTTGGGTAGTGTAAATTTAATTTCTGCTCTTCATCTCTTAAAACAAACAAAAAAAGTTGGTGTCATTAAAGTGGACCACACACTGCATTTCTGCCTTCTTAACACATTTTGTTTTGTTACATCTTACATTATGCAGAACTATTTTTGTATACAATTGTTTAAAAGTTATTTATGCAATGTTTGAATGCATAAACAGTCTTTTGGTTTTGGATTGCCAATTTTTATCCTTTACAATAGGAGAGAACTTAACCTATACTTCATAGACAAAGTATCCATCTGCAGACATACCCAGATCAGGAAAAGTAGGTTAATACTTTGTTCCCAAGCATGTTTTAATGGAAGTTTATATCTTGCTTTGTATACTTCAGAAGTGACATAAGCATGTTGTGAAAATAAGGTGTATATTATAGTTGAAGTAAGACACTATGCCAAGTTTTATCTGTATAGAAATTACCTTTTTCTCAGAAATTTAAAAAACTCCAATTTCAGCTTTTGCACATAGGAGGGTTTCACTCTAGCATGAGCTCTTGTACTCAATATAAAAATAATTTATACAGTGAGTCAAGCAGTAGACTAAATGGTCAAGCATAGTCTTTTTTCCTCTTTGTTTGAAGTGTGAGTTGAGTTCTCATTTAAGGTTTATAACATGGTTATTTCCTGATTGTAAAATTCTGCATTGATAAGTGCCATTGTTGTAAGGTGTTGTTTTCGTAGACCTTCCTGATGCAGTTTTACCTTTGTTGAATTTGTATAAACAATTGTACAAAAACAGACAAGCCTCAGAGGGTTTCTATTCAAAACTGAATTGATAAAATTTGTTTTGTTTGATAGTCAAAAATATTAACAGTACAATTCTTATCTGGAGTAACTTTATTAAAAAAAAACTGCATAGCACTTTTTTATTCCACAGCTGTGCTCCCTTTGTGTTATTTCATCATCAGATTGTTTACTGTGTTTTTTTTCTCTAAGCCCTGCAAAGGCACCACCACTAAGGGGAGCTGAACTTTATTCCTTTGTGTGTATGATCAGTTATGAGGCTTTAGTTATGCATAACAAAACCACTGAGCAGTAAATGGCACAGTCACATGGAAGATTCCAGAATTGCACAGGTGTAAAGTTGACCTACTCTGGCCTGTAGCATCTTTCACTAGTTAGTTATCGCTTTAATATACTATAGCTTGCTGATAAAATTATCAACTGCATCTGTTTTAATTCCAAAAAACTCTTGACAAAGCTCCAAAGTTCTGCACCAGAACCTGTGGTGTTTACCATTTTTTCAGGTTATATTAAACAGTAAAATAACATTCTAGATAAAAGTTTAAGCAATTTCAGAAGGACCTAACATCTCACTAGCTGAGACTCGACTGCTACATGACATTCTTTGATAAGTGCAAGGTAATAAATGTTGGAACAATGTGTACACAACTACCTATATGTATATATATTGCTGGGTTTTTAATTATAAGAGCTAGGTTTTTCTCTTTTGAACGGTTCAGTGAAAGCATGTGTGCTGGCAATCAAAAATGAAAATGGTACGATGTATAAGGCTTGGAAAATGTCAGAATGGATTGAAGCACACCTTCACTGATGGGAGTTGTGAGATGTGGTCCATCTAGGCTTGTATTCTCAATCCTGCATGCCTAATCAATCTTTATTTGTAAAATGAATACAGCTTAATGTGGAACTTCCTTCTGCCATTCTTTAATTGCTTTTACTTGAAATTATTTTACTCTGAAAAATGACTAATGCTAGTACTCTGACATTCAGCTTTAATGGAATATCTTTACTATGATATTAACATGAATCTCTGCTCTAAGAATCTTTGGGAAAGTAAGAGTACAACACGGTACAATAAAACTGCAGTTGTTCTGCATCCAGTGGTCCGGCACTCCCAATAGACCGGCACCAGCTGGAACCTGGAAGTGCTCTGGCCAGCCGGACAATTGGAGCTGCTTTGCCCCCAGCTTCCCCAAGTCCAAAGCTGGTCAGTTCTTTTTCAAGTAGTTGCTCATGTCCATTCGAATCAGGTGTGTGCACCACGTGCACCGTGTCTCCGGAGCGTTTTCCCTAGTGGTACCCGTAGCACCAGCAGGGCGCCCCCTGGAGTGGCACCGCTATGGTGGAGCATAAGTACCTTTGCCGGCGCTCCCACAACTCAGTCCCTTCTTACCGCCCGTGACGGTCATTGGAGCATGTCTTTCTCTTAGAGTAGTTAATGGTTCCAATTTCTCTTAGTGTAGTGTTGTTAATAGTTATAAATAGTTTTAATTAGTTAGTTAGCAAGTTCTTTGTTTTCCTTCCCCCCTTCGGGAGTGAGGAATGCCAGGGCTGCAAGGCTTTAAGGCTTGCGCAGTATGCGCTAAGTTCATGCTTAAGGGAGACCCTCATGATAGCGGCTTAAAGTGTTTGGGTGAGGGCCACTTAGCAAACGCCTGTAAGATCTGCAGGTCGTTCAAGCCGTGCACGAAGAGGGAGCGAGACTCGTGTTTGAAGCTTCTCCTCATGGAGGCAGCCCTCGCAGTGCTCCGGCATCAATGCGTGACACCCTGTCCCGTGCACAGACTTCGGTACTGAGGGCTCGGCACCGTTCTCTCTTCCTGGCACCAAAGCAGATAAAGACTTCGCGGGGTAGG